GCTTTTAAATACCCCCAGGGATGGGGACTTGACCCCTTCCCTGGGCAGCCCCTTCCAGTGCCTGACAACTCTGGCTCCTTTATTAATCCCATCCCATTCCTTTCATACTCATCAGCATCAAATGGCATTTCTCTTCTCTTTCTTGCCAGTCTCAGTCTTGCAGCCCAAATTTCAAATACTTGCCTCTTCCACACTAGCAGCGGAGGGCACAGACCAAAATACTTGCTAAAAGGTCATATCACGGAAAGGTCAGTGTTTTGTTTTGTCACACTATTATGCTGACTTCAACGTGCTGCTGTAGTTTCTGTTACTACTGCTGATATATACACTCAGTCCCTTACAGTTTAATATGAAGATGTGTTAAGTGCATTCCAGAATATGGTTTCTGGTTGATAAGAGAAATTCATCCCATAGAATTGGTTACTGAAATGCATGTAAGTTAAAGATAGAAGTGTTACAAATCAAGTGACCGTAATTCATAATGGCTCATGCTCTTACTAGCATCTGCAAAAGTAACATATTTGACTGTATAAATGACAGATGTCTTTTTTTCTATGAAATCCTCTTAGTGGGAAACTCCAATATTTTAAATGGCTGAACTAGGTACTGAAAAAAAAAACCCCACGCAACTGGCTGTGTTGAAATGATATTTTAAAACCAGTACAGGCTATAAATAGACTATTTATAAACAGGATGCTTTGTGTATGTTTAAATTTTGTCAAGTTGTCTAAAGTGGGGGAAATGCCAGCATGACATTCCTGTTAGTCATTCACAGGTTTTAAAAACTGTCAGTTAGCCAAAATATTTTTAATTGTTACAATACATTCATATAAAACATTACTGATTAATTCTGATAATAATACTGATAACTCTGATTAATTGTTTTACTAGGAAGGAAAATAGACTGTCTTTTCTTAAAGAAAAAAAAAAACAAAACCAAAAAAACCCCAAACAACAAAACCCACCTTGATCTTAGGTTCTTTGCCCAGGAATAGCAGAGGGGCTCTCTTGGTGAGGTTAACATCTGTCTTTGAGAGTGACAGTGGCAATAACACAAAAGAGGGAAGCTAAGCCTCGTGTCCCCGGCGGGGTGTAAAGGCTGTGCTCTGGGCACTCTAGCCATTCCCTCCCAGCAGCATGAGCAGTAAGAGCCCCTTCGGCCTCCTGCCACCTACTACTTTACCCACCCACCTCGCCTCTCAAATCCAATCGGTTATTAAACTGCACAGCGTCCTGCAATTGAACCACTTTTAAGCCTTGGTAATCTTCTACTCGCTCAGCTATTTAGTGACATTTCACTTTGGGATCAGTAGTTTTCTTGATAATCTGATACCTTACTTTCTCTTTTTAGCACTTTGGCGACTATCTTTGTACTTCAGGAAAGCACCAGAGCACATTATAGCTTATCATCATTCAAGGCTTGGCATCTGACTCAGTTCTTCTTCAATGTAGGGTCAGCATTTCTTTGGCCAACAATATTTTTTGAAGTATGGCAATAAACAAAAGGGTTTTAACAACATCAAAACCTGTCCAAGTGGCGAAAGATTGCCAAGGGCAAATGGCTGTGGTTTTTAATGTCATACATGTTTGAATCTGCCTCGGTATGCGAATAGGGCAGCTATGCTGGAAAATGCTGTCTTCATGAAATGCAAGATCTTCTCTGCTGAAGTGGACATGGAGCTTTGAGCAACATCTCAATGCTTCATTTTTTTATCCTTAGCTGTGGAACGATGCTTTTCCCACATGTTCTGGTAAACAACATGGCAATGTCTCCTAACAAAAGTTTATATGTAAACTTGCAGTTGTAGAAGTACTTAAAAACAGAAGTGGAGTCAGAACTCAGTCAGTCCTCCAGATCTTAATCCTGTTTAATCCTTGGCAGGACCTTATTTTAGACAGTTTGTTTCACAGCCTTTCCAAATATTTTTTTTAATGTAAATGGATTGTAAACAAATTGAGGTTTTCTTTGGACACTTGTGAAACATAACTGTTGCTTCTGTTGTTGGGTAAGAGGGGGTTAATATACACCTGGTAGTGAGAGGGGCGATATTTTAAAAAATAAGTGTTATTAATGCCTGCCTGCAAGGGGGGCAGATTTTTAGACTGCAGACATAACTCCCTCCCTGAAAATAAGACGGTTTGCAGCAGGCAGCCAACCATCCAATGTCCTTCACACCGACATCAGGAGATTCTAACATTCAGTTATTATTAACGCTTTAAAGTCCTGTCCGAAGTATATGGCACATATGGTTGCCTCCTCTTTCCAGGCACTATGCATATTACTCTTGCAAGAAAAAGCTCATGATAAAATGAAGGGGATCTTTAAGCATTACAAAAAAATTGTAAGAAATAGCAATAACTCAGTGGACATTAATATTAAAGTAAATCCACAAAAAAATGTATTTCAAGAGCCACATACCCAGCAAGACTACATTTTACCCATTCAGAAATAACAACTCATATTGGTTGAAAAGCTTTTTCTCAATTAATTAAAAAAGTTGTTTATGTTCCACTTAAAAATAAGTATATAAAAATATGGTAAATTTTATAGAAACTTTCTATGCCATTATTAAGCATTTCTGCAGTACTGTTGGTGTGATCCAAGAGTGGAAAAACATTTATTCATTTCTTAGGAAACATCTGCTCTGGACTTCAATTATTATTTCATTGTTTACTTTGGGGTTATTTTAAATAATTTTAGCTGTGAGGAAGCTTAGAGGAGACATCCTAGATCTGTTGGCAACACTTGTTCTGGGATTTTCAGATCTAGGATGCCAATACACAATGCCAGTGTCTCTTGTAAATGAACAATGTCTCTTGTAAATGAACAAGAAGAATAATGTAAATGCTTCAAATTAATCTCATTATTAGAACAAAGTAGCCTTTGTCAGCCTCAGTGTTTCTGTAGCACTTACCATATTTTGAAAATCCTCAAGCTTAGGTAATATTTACAATGCAGCTCATTCCCAACTACTGCACAAGGCAAAAGATTACATTCCAGTGTTAGAACAAACATGCAAGTTCTGTTAAATCTAAATGTCTCTTTAAATAAAACCCAATTTGTGTGTCTAATGCCTAAAAGCACTTGAATATCTAAAAGAAGGAAGGTAAAACTGTGCTCTTTGTCTATAGAGGGGATAAAGTGTTTGGTATAGGTTGACGGATTGCAAAGTTTTGTTTTCCCCACTATGTTCCTTGAACCTCAGGAGGGATCCATCCAATGTTAATGCTCATCAGTCTGGTCCCTGGGTCACCCCTTCAGGTAACAGAATTCTTCCACTTTGTAAATATTTGCAGAATCAGGTCTTATCACAGAATTTCAGTAGCTTCCCTTCAAGTACACAAGCTGGGTAACTAAAAAAAAATAGCTCAAGGCAACAACCTACAGCAGAACGCCCACCTGTGGAGGTGGGAATCAAGCCAAAACAGCCCTGCCTCCCAGGGCAGAGCTCTCTTTCTAGTCCTTTTGCTAGAGATGGGATAGGAGCAAGGGAGGTTTAAGGTTTTTCTCTGACCATTAGCGCTTACAATTGCCTGCAGCAGCACGAGTCGTCCAGCACTCTTTTGACTCTGTTGAACCTTTTCAGTCTTGTTCCATTTACCTGCAATAGAGAAGGAACCTCAGAATCCAAAGAGATACAGGAAGGTGCACTTCTGGAAGTACTAAAACACCCCCCTAAAACTCACTGATCCTTCTGTAGCTGTGCAAAACCTATGAGGATCCTGTACTAATGATTCTTTCCTTCTTCACCCACCACCACCTCCTTTCTTGCCAGCACAGCTTATTTTCCCGCCTAGTGCATGATTTGCCTACGCTAGTGAGAAACCTGGTGTGAGATTCAGCAGCTGGACAGCTTTTCACTGACTGGAAATTCGATGGACACAACTCCATTTGTGCAAAGACTCTAACTGGGTCAGATACAATGTCATCCATACAGTATGCCACTGCTAACGTAGTCCAGCTGCTTTATCCCTGACAGCCTCTTATTAATTGTTAATACCATTGTTTGTATTGCAGGCCTCAGGCACTTGTGATCCATACCCATGAGAAACACCAGAATGCAGGGCTGCCTTCACCCTTTCCTGAATAGCCTCAAAAAAGAACCACAGTTTTGCAAAAGTGAATTAAACCCTTTTATTGTTGAAACAAGAATGCCCAATGCCATTGTGAATAATAGTTGGGGTTATTACTCTACACTCTCATTTCCCCTGAAACATGGATGCGCCAAAAGTAGATACACTGTAGAAATAACAAATACTCATAACCCACTGAAGTGAACTGAATCTAAATAGCTCAGTTAAATAATTGCCAAATACTATTAACCTGCCGCATTTAGAATGGAAATGTGCACATTTTTATTTGCCTGTCTGGTATCCTGCTTTCTTTGCAGAAATTCTTTTTTCCATCAGCTGCACTGCGGCCACACTACTTTTCAAAAAAGCATTTCAATAATAACAAGGACTTATTTAAAATTTTTCGTTAATCAATAAGGATCCGGGCTTCCCTAGCAGAAATCCAGTAAATAGCTAGGAAGCTGAAGTTTTAGTCTGCATTTACATGTTTTAATTCAGTGGATGAACATGGTATGAGCCAGAAAAACACATGAGAAAATCTTCAGAAATGTAGCTTAGAAGCACAGACAATTAATTCAGATTTTTGGCAGACCACTGAATAGCCTAAGAAACCTCATTTTCCATATCTGCTGTGTGCTTCCCACAGGAGTCATGTTCCCCAAAGAGTGGATGCCCAGGTACCATTCTGAACCTGGATATTGCTTGGAGATTGGAAAGGGGTGACGTTGTAAAGTTGCTGTTCTCTTGCTCTTCTGACCCCTGTCCTGCACTCGGGCTTTTTTCTGATCTAACATCTATCATTTCTACAGATCTTCTTTGACTTTTGTTAAAACAATTAAGTGAACAGATGGCCTGACACTGTGCACAGATGTCGAGTAAGTTTACTTTGGTGCCCTGTCGATAGCTGATGTGTTCTTATTTTACAGGTCATGGACTGTGCAATGCCTCTGATTGGTGAGCATCAGACTGAAGACAGGCAACACATAACTGACCTAGTCGTAAGCAAAATGAACCAAATGTTGTCCAAAACTCCCATACCGTCTCCTCAGAGACCCACTGCCACTCAGCAGCCTCAGGTAGGAAACTTTTGTTTGTAAAATAGAGAATCTTACTCTATAATTCTAAGCTCAAAATTTTCCACAAAGAATTTGGCTGGAAAACTATGCAGACATACCCTGAACTACAAGAATTCAAGAACTTGTCACATGGTTTATAGGTTTTTCATACTTAAATGAGATTATCTGCAGATATAATCAAGGAGTCCAAGCGGTGTTGTGGTTCTACCAGTAAACTGGTAACTGTGGGTTCAGTGAATTACCAGGCTTTGTATTGTTTCCTTTCAGTTACATCTGTCTAAAATATCATGGAAATAGTAAGAAGCACTGCCACAGACAGCCTTTGCCCTGAGGATGTCAGAAAGGATACTAAGGCAATAGTTCTTGTTGTTCTTGTGAGAAATGAAATTACACGATAGATAATATGATTTTATGTGCTGCAATTCATGAAAATAGCTTTCAAATCTGGGAAACTCCTGAAATACATTTAGCACACTAGAAAATTTGTGTCAAAGGTTGCAAACGGATGTGTTTCACTTACTTTATCTTACAGGGCCTGATAGTTAAAGTGTAGGGATGCAGAATTCTGCCCCAGCCTTGCTACCTTTCAGACTTCGGAAATCATCTTTGTGTTTCCTTTTCAATGCTTACAAAATGTGAAGTTTATTTTATTAATCCTTTAAATAACTTCTGAGAATGTGGTGTTTTTTGTAAAAGGCTCTAAGAACATAAGTTTTTGCCTCTGAATTGGAGAGAGATGGATCTGATGGGCGGATTATCAAATGGATAAGGAATTGTCCAGATGGCCATGTCTGGAGTTACGGTCAACAGTTCAGTGTCCAAATGGAAACCAGTAGCAAGTGGTGTCCCTCAAGTCTCTGTGCTGAGACCAGTACTGTTTAATATCTTCATCCATGGCATGGATAGTGGGATCGAGGGCACCTCAGCAAGTTTGCAGATGACACCAAGCAGAGTGGTGCGGTCAATATGCTAGAGGGAAGGGATTCCAGCTAGAGGGACCTGGATGTCAGGGTCCTGCACTTGGGTCACAGCAGTCCCCCAGTATCAGTACAGACTGAGTGATGAATTGATTTGAGAGCAGCCCTGCAGAGAGGACCCTGGAGGATGAAAAATTGGACGTGAGCCGGCAATGGGCGCCTGCAGTCCAGAAGGCCAACTGTCTCCTGGGCTGCTTCCCCAGCAGCGTGGCCAGCAGGTCGAGGAAGGGGATTCTGTCCCTCCACTCTGCTCTGGTGAGACCCCACCTGCAGCCCTGCATCCAGCTCGGGGGTCCTTAGCACAGGACAGACATGGAACTGTTAGAGCAGGTCCAGAGGAGGCCACAAAAATGATCAGAGGGCTGGAGCACCTCTCCTACAAAGAAAGGCTGAGAGAGTTGGGGTTGTTGCGCCTGGAGAAGAGAAGGCTTCAGGGAGGCACTATTGTGGGCTTTCAATACTTAAAGGGGGCTTATAAGAAAGATGGGAACAGACTTTTTACCAAGGCCTCTAGCGACAGGACAAGGGGTAATGGTTTTAAACTGCAAGAGAGTAGGTTCAGATTGGATGCAAGGAAGATGTTCTTTACAATGAGGGCAGTGAGACACTAGAACAGGTTGCCCAGAGAAGTTGTGGATGCCACATCCCTGGAAGTATTCAGGATCAGGTTGGACAGGGCTTTGAGCAACCCAATCTAGAGAAAGAAGTCCCTGGCCATGGCAGGAGGGGTCAGACTAGATGATCTTTAAAAAGTCTGTTCTAACCCAAACCGTTCTATGATCCTTTGAAAAGTGATGTGTAAATGCTAAATAGCATCTTTTATGTCTTTGTAGCTAGGCAGCAGATCTGATTAAGAGCAGCATTATCAGCTACAACTTTCATGTACTTCTTTTAATATACTGAAGGAATAAACCATGACAATACATTCTGATATAAACTATTAAGGACTGAATTGCTGCTCTATACCAGCACAGCTCCATGGTAATCAGTTAAGCAAAAGAAAAAGCCAAAATGTAATACAGGAATTACCAAGCCTAAATCAAGAATCTATTTTTACTCCCAGTAGACTCCACACCAGGTAAACAATTTGAAAACAGTTTTGTGGCATACCTCAGACAGACTAGTTTTTGAGGCAGAATGACTAATTTGTTCTTCAAATATATCATCATCCTTTAAGTTATAAAAATACATCATCCCACATAAAAAAGTGGTGTGGCTTCTATTTATATTACAGCCACTTGAAACTAAGCACAAAATTGTTTCGACCACGGAACCACATACAATGGAGAAGTTTCCATCCAACATGACTCAAGTCCATTGTAAAGGGCACTGAAAAAGAAAGACAAGGAGGGGAAAAACTTAAATCACCTTATGCCAAAATACAGTTTCTTTTAGGACTAGTAAATTAGCCATATATTAAAATGAAGCAGAGTAAAATTTAGAGTTGTGCAGAGCATACAAGCCTACATAGATAAAAAATTAAAACAGTAACAGACATTATTGTAACATTAATATATTCACAGTCTTTTAGAGCATTTGATATTTCACATTTTGGGGAAAAAAAAGTTAACATCTTGGGTAGACACGCTTCCCTGGATTTTAAAGAAGACAAGGGAGGAGAAATGTTTATGGTTATTGGTGTCATTCAAAGGAACTGTTTATCTGTTGTATGTAAATAAAATTTTTACTCATTTCCAAAGAAAACTGCCTACATAAGTCCAGAATGAAAACAGGACACAACGAACATTTTAAAAACAGTTACTAAACTCCTCAGTCATTGCTGTCACTCATCATGTCCATGAAAAGGTTTTTTTCCTCTTAAACAAAAAAGCTTTGGATTAATCCAAAGATAATATTTGCTGTCTAGCTGCTGAACTTCTGTTAGATTTCTACTTAGTTTAGGTTACTGAAGAATTCAACCTTTGCTAATGGCAACAGGATGTTATTGAACATTAATCTTCTTTTCTTTACCCTATCCTTAAATTATGGAATGCAGTTGACCAAAATCAGAGATATTCCTTCAGAATATTTGCAATATTTGTTAGTTTTCCTCTCAGTTAATCAGACTCTGCTTCCTTAAAATTTGCCTTGTCATATTATCCACCAATTTAGGACAGACAAAGGGGATCTGGATTTCTACAGAAGATACTACTTGCAAATACCCATTGATCTTCCCAGCTTTAAGGGATCATGGAACAGATCTATAGTATTTAAAACAGATACCCCCTCATGTGGAGTTCATGTTTAGCTAGGTTGTTTTCCTAAGAATAAAATCAGACTGTTGAAACAAGCTGTCCCTTTCATCTTTGAACAGTCTTCTCCTTTTCTAATCAGAGGAATAATTTCCTAATCTTGAGAAATACAGTCCATTCATTTGTGGGCAGGGGGATACTGCACATTTCTGCAGGTCACATAAAATGTAAAGCCAAGTAATTTATCCCAAATCAACTATGAGCATATGTATGTGCAGTCTTAGAAACCAAATTAATATAAATATCAAAGAGTAATTTGTGTGCTTGGCTACTACTACTTTTAAATGAAGAGCTTACAGTCAATAGTACAGCCGTAGATGTGCCGTGTTTTGAATTCCCTTATTGTCTGCATGGGCTTTTAAAAATTATTTATAATCTACCCACGACTGTGGCACTGGGTGCATCATACATAAAAGAATGTTTCAATCTCTAAATGCCCGCAATGGTCAGTGCTATTCCAATTAACTCTCCATCAGAAAACAAATCAATGATTGGGAAAATAAGTCTTTGTTTAGAGCTGTGCAGCCAAATCTTGATGGAAATGATTGACCTTGCAATATGTTCTGGAGGCCAACAAAGTGTTCTCTGTCAGCATGCCAGAAGGAGCAAATTCCAAAAGCAGGGACCTCAAACAACTGCCTTGCTTATGCTGAAACCTCAGAGCTGCAGATCCTGCGGTTCTTAAACACATTAAATCTATAATCTGAGATATCAGATTAATTGAGAATTTTTAAACACGTATTTTGTATATTACATATTTATTTATTTTTCTGTAAACACTTGCACAGGCTCTATAACAAGTTCTGCTGGTACACAGAATGGCACAGAATCCGTGAAGGAGAAAAGCTACAGTTTGCAGCTCTGTGTGTTGCACCTCACGCTGGCTGACTCTGGCTGCAGCCGACAAACTGTGCCTCACGCTTTTCTCTCATGGTCCCAGGCTACAGTTTATTGCAAACCGTTGACAGCGTGATTGAACCTATTGGATTCAAAGCTTGCCAGTTCTGCTCTTAATCAGATACTTTACAAGTCTTCCCACTACAAAGAAAAGCAAGAGTCCCTGGACTCAGAGAAGTTCTATCTGATATAACTACATATGGTCAAAAAACTCTTTCCAAAAATTGGGTTCTTTCTATTTAATTTGAAAACACGACAGCTTGTTTTACTCAGACCATGGTGAAAATATATAATAGAACTTTATCTAGGAATATGATTTTGATTGAAGTTTTCCATGAGAAAATGGAAGCAATAAAATTATGGAAATCTGAATTCCCACTTCTTGTAACCTCTTTGAATACTTTTGACAGATCTTTTGAGAAGCCTTTTTCAAATCTTTCCTAAAAACCAAACCAGTGGGTTAACCTACCCCATGAAGTGTTCTAGCCAGTGGAATCACTTATCTCTGTCTCCATCTGTTGATAGGAAAGTTCACTGCTGAAACTTCTGCTGTCTGCGTTTACAAAATTCTGCATGTTGTTGCTCAGTGCAGGCTACTTTATGCTTGTTTCTGTAGCAGCATTTGTGTATAAAACAATAACAGTAAAACATCTATTCAAAGCTGCATATCGAGTCACCATAGGAATTGTGATGAACTAAATTCTGTGTAGAATTTTGCACTGTGCATGAGTACTACCATAGAATGCAAATGATTACGGTCATGTTAGCAGTTGAAGCTGAGAAAAATCATATTAGGAAAATGTTATTTCAGTCCAGCTCTGTTGAGACCATGTCACATTATCCACAAAAGAACAAGGAATTTATTATCCTTAAC